AGGGTTTGCTGTGCACGTGGAAGAGAGAGACGAGCGTGAAAAAGGGCAGTGGGGTTCTTTCCTTCTCTCCAGCTGGCCAGAGGCAGGCTTGGACACATGTTGGATGGGGAGGTGGAGAAGTGCATGGGCGATCTTGAGTCCGGCTGGCTCGTGGGCTGCACCCTAGCGGAGGCACCGTGACGTGTGAGGGGGTGGGCCGGTGGCCAGGGCTGGATGGAGTCTTGCTGGAACTAGCGGGGGGCACCCAGTGACGCCATCTGACCCTGAGCTCCATCCTGAGCCATCAGCCGGCATTTCCTTACAGCACCGCAGCATCCTGTAGCCTTTCCTGTCCTTCCTGATGACACCCCTCCTCTTCCTCCTCTCTCAAACCTGGGATGCTGGGGCTGGTGGTGCAGGAACTCTGCTCAGGCTGGAGATGGGAGTGGTGCCTCCCTGCTGAGAAGCTGCCTTGTATCTTGGGAAGTTTTCCTCCTCTTCCTCCTCTTCCCCCCCCCCCCCCCCCCCCCCCTTTTCTGTGCTTGTTTGTATTCTCTCTGCTTTGAGGAGAGTGCCTCTGCCTTGAGAAAGTGCCAAGTGTTGCCTGTGACTGGGGCAAGGTGGCTGTTATCTCTAATCAGATAGGCTCAAGCTGTAGATTTAGTTTAGGTATTTAAACCTGGGGTTTTCTTGTTATAGCCTCTGCCTCTTCTCCCAGCCCCTCACTTGATGTGCAGGATGCCTCCCTCACACTATGCCCCTGATTCCTCGGCCACGGCATGTAACACTGTCCCAGATTGTTCAACCATGGGCAGAGGAGGCAAATCTGTGACGAGGAACTAGGGTGAGACCTGCCAAACTCATGCAATGAATGCCCTCGGTCAGGGTTTGGCCTTGGGCTTTATTTTAGAGGCAAAGGGTCACTGCATTGAACCTTCTGGGATGTAAAAGAGGATGTGGTTAAGAGAGCGAGGCAGAGGGCACTGCTGTCTGCTGAAGCTAGTGAGGGATGGTGACTGGCAGTCTTTACTGGCACAGACGCACCCAGGCGCTGGAGAGCAGGTCTGGGAGCACAGTTGAATAATGGAGGCGACAGGCTGGCCTGAGAATCCCTGTGCCTGAAGGCATTTCTCATGGGGTGGGGAGAGCACAGTCCTCTACTTGTTTTGATAGCCTGAGTGGACTCAGGAGCTTTGTTGGCCTCTGAGCCAGAGATAGGAGTGAATTCACTTCCACCAAACAGAGCCAAGAACACTTCTGTCTTCAGTTCCGAACTGTTCATCTCTCTCATAAATTCCCTAGTACAAATAATTAGGCAAGTGGTAACTGGGCGTATTTGGAGCTGAAAAAAACAACGTAAGAATCACTGTATGACAGAGATTGTGGGGCTGCTTCTGGGATGAATGTGGTGGAGCTGCTTCACCTGATGAGGGGCGCTGGAAATGGAAAGGATCTACCAGATCAGTCAGGGCAGGGTTGTTATTTTAGGGGTACTTCCCTGAGATTCTCTTCAGTCTGGTGCTAAAAGTCCCAAAGCAACGGGACCTTCATCCTATTGCATAGCCTAGTAGGCCAGGAAGCCTGTTCCTTTTCTTCTTTTAATTTTCTTATTCCCAGCTACAACCCCTTGTGCCACCCTCAGTAATTCCATTCCTTCTTTGGTGTTTACATTCTTCAGATACTTGCATACTGTTATCACGGCCTCTATAGCTGCCTAGGCATAGTCAACCCTGTTTAATCTCTTAGCCTAAGCCAGCCATTCCAGTCCCCTGCTCATGTCAGTTCTTCCTGGAGTCTTTCCAGCTCGTCTACCTTTCTAGCATTGTAGCTCACAAGAAGCAAATGCAGCATTTTAGGTGTGGTCACACCAAAGCCCAGGCCCTTGCTGTGAAACCTCAGGCCTCTGCAGCTGCAGCCTACAACTGTGTTTTGGGGGGTGCGCATGTTTCTGCTGTGCTCCTGCATCCTATTTCATGCTTGCCTGTCATCTGGTTTTCCAGGTGTCCCTGTTCCATCAAATCTGCATTTCAGAACAATTTTCCACAGACGCAGTATCTCACACTGTCCCAAGTGTGTTCTTGTTTGATATTCTGTCCACAGGCTGGCTTCCATACCATCCTTCTTGAGAATCCTATTATAGACTGCCCACCTGGAGGGCAGGGGTGCAAAGGTAGCTTTATATTACTTGAGCATCTCTTCTAGTTCTGGCCCCAACATAAGTACACTGGGGCTGTTCTCATTTATGACAACCACACCCAGCTGCCTATGGACTCCTATGCAGCCTGAAATATTTGCAAAAGGTCACAGCCATGGCCCTTTCTAACCCAGGTGCACGGTTAGGGAGGCAGCACAGATACTAGCCATGTACTGGGCAAATTAATTTTGGGGCCTTTATGGTCACAATACTGGGCTGGGGTAAGGGTCAGAATTTGGTTGGATAACTCTACTACTTCTGTCCTTGCCTTCTTTCTACTACCTCTAGGTCTTTAATGTTTCTCAGTTTTCACTGCCAATTATAGCTCCTCCCAGTTTAATCTGCTTTGCTATTGTCAATTAACTGGGTGATTAATACCACCGCACAGGAGGCTTCAAAGGAGATGAGACCTAACACCAGTCCCAACAATAATGCCAGCTAGGCATCTTTCCTTCCTGTTTCTTTCTCTATCGTTCCCCTTTGTGTACGATCTCAGCCTTGTTTTAATCTGCATGCCTGTGATCCTACCCAAGCTCATGGGACACAAATCCATGGTTCAGGTTTTGCAAAGACACTTAATCAAATGCTTTCCTCAAAGCCCTGCTATCTTACATGCATTGCATTCCCTCTGCTGGTTCAGCCTTTAATGTTTTAAGGAAAGTTACCTGGCCAGTTAAACTATTCTTTATAACTCCCTGCTGTTCTGTTGCTCAGGGTTCTGTTTTTTTTTTTCTGACATCCAGGGGTATCTATTACTCATTGTGCAGTTTCCGGGAAGCAACAGTGTGGACACCTGGTGTAATGCAGAATGATCCAGCACTGTGTCTAGGGATGGAGGGGTGGGACTGGAAGGCAAATGCAGCACTGGCACTGTTCAGTGGGCCCTGAGAGCCTGGATTGTGTGTGTGTGTGCGCGCGCACACGCGCATGCATTCCACACGTGCATCACAGCATGATGGATTTTATGCCTTGTTTCCCTTCATGCCTCATCCCAAGGGGTGACAGCATGAAGGTGGAGTTGCAGCCACAAGAGGAAAGGGTTTTTTGTGGAGGGGGTGAGGTGAGGAGGGCCTGGTGGGACTCCAGAAGCAGTAACCAAGCGGAGATATTAACAAAAGCGTGAAAGGCTGAGGGGAAGAGAGACATTCCTGTGTCTCCATGTGTATGTGTGTTTCAGTCTGTAGTGGTTGTCCCCAGTCCGAGGTGAGCAGTGGAACCCCAGGCCACCTGGCTCTGGTTTCTACACGTATCTGCTCCTGTGGGGCGTATTCAGTGTCTGCAATCTGACAGGTCCAGCCCAGTGGGACCCTGATAGGTTGGGTTTGCAACTGTAGCAACAGGTGGCCCGCCCCTTCCATGTCCTCCTCACTCTGCACTCTAACCAATAGGCTGGTTGAGTTTGGGGCGGTCCTATGCTCACTCCACTGCTGCTGTCTGCTGTAACCTTGGGTGTAACCCAAGAGCTCAGAGCTGCGAAATGAAAGCAGAGAAAGTTTTGCCCAGTTGGGCTGCTGGCAGTCTGGGCTTGCGGGGGTTAGTTGGCACCAGGTGGACATTTCCTGGTTTGATCGGAAGCCCTTGGTGCATAGAGCACCCATGCAGTTGCTGAACTGCTCCCTCACAAACACATTGACACACACACCAGCCCTTTCTTGGGTGGAGCATGTGGCAGTTGGGCACACCCGGCAGCCTCCCCGAAATTGGCAGACCAGATGCAGACAACTTCCAGGTACAGCTCTGACATTTCCTCTCCTTCTCTGTCCCCAGCCCCTCTCCACTGCTGTCCACCCCAGGTTACATCACTGGTGCTTGACTAAATTGGGGGTGGGAGGGGGGGGGAAGGGAATGAGACACAGATCTCTTTGAAAATATGGCCATTGAGCCAGATTCATTCTTGATGCAACTCTGTGGAAGGCAGTGAAGGGATGGATCTGGCCTCTTTGGGTTAGTAAAGCAAAGGAGAGACTGTTCCCTGAGTCAGCTCTCTGCAGCTTCAGCCCTGAAAGGAGGCAGAACTGGTTGGGATGAGGTGGGGAGAGTGATATCTCTGCCATGAAGGATGATACAATTTAGGCCCTGCCCCACTCTCCCCTTTATATTCACTTGGGAGGGCTAGGATAGGCCACAAGCTGTGCACATGTCTGACAGGGGGGAGTCAGGGAGAGTAAAGGGGGGGCCTGTTTAGCAGAGCAGAACTCTTGCATTTCAGAAAAGAGTCTATTTCCAAGCTCCAGCCCTGGCTCAGACTCACCTGATGGCCCTGGGCAAGTCACTTAACATCATGTATTTCCCTATCTGCTCCCTGGAGATGGCACTGTTCAACTCCCGCACAGCCAAGCTATTAATAAGTAACTGGTGTTGACGATAATGGAGGAAGCATCTCGCTGGACTTTGGAGTGATGCCAGATCTGGAGGAGGTTTGGGTAGTTCCCGGGAATCAAACTCCTTTCCAGATGTAGTTACTTCTGGCTTTTCCTCCACCACCAAGTAGAAAACCTGTGACTAAATATCTCCAGTCACATAGGGAACTTCTGTGGTGCATGTTTTTCTTTCATTTTTATCTCCTGGGCTGCTTCTTGGAGCAGTGATTGCTTGGTGTGTTTCAGAGCCATGCCCTCTGCTGCTTGGTCCCTGGTCCATTTGGGTTTGGTGGGAATGGGGCTGGACTGTTGTCCCCATCACCCCTCTGTCCTATCTAAACCTCTGGGCTCTTTCTCCACTCCCTGGTGGAAGGTCTGATGTTTTGAACTTGGTGTCAGTCCTGACCTCCTAACCCTGCCTTTTCTTGCAACCTTTATTAACCCCTGCTCTGTCCTCCTTTTTCCAGCCGGATCTCCTCAATTTCAAGAAAGGATGGATGTCCATACTGGATGGGCCAGGAGAGGTAAGATGGATATCCAGTCCACACTGGAGACTCCTGTGTATCCAGAGCCTTTCCTTCCCCATAGTTATGCTGGCTCTTGGTGGAGAGGGTGGAGAGAAGCAGCTGTTGAATTTCTGCTTGGATGCTTGATTTGTTAGAGGTCCCCTACAGAGTCCCATCAAACCCTTCCCACTGTCCCTTTCCCAGTTGACTCTTAAAAAGACGAAGGTGGAGGAGGTATGTTTAGAGGGGAAAGGGGCAGTAGCCAGACCTATGGACAAGACGGTTGTAAGCAGAAACCTCCCTCTTCCAAAGTATTTCCTTAGTATTTTCATCTTTTCTCTTCCCTCGGTCTGTCTTCTTGTCTCCTCCCCTTAACTCTTCTGTCTGCAGTGGAAGAAGCACTGGTTTGTGCTGACGGACTCAAGCCTGAGATATTACAGGGACTCCAGTGCTGAAGAGGTAAGAAAGGGAATGCACCTTTATTCTTCCCTCACTGCCTGTATGTAGAGAGAGAGTCCTGGTGAAGGGGCTGTGCTCAGCTCCCAGTGGAAGCTGACTGCAACGCTGGCAGGGCTTATTATGTGGTTTAGTTGCAACTTCCCTAGTAGCTAAGTCTGCAAATGCCTCAAGAAGAATAACAGTTGAAACACAGAGACCCTAGAGCATCTGGCTCCAACAAAGATGGGGGAAAAGAAGCAGACTGAGTGGAAGGTGGGGGGTTTCATGATTCCAGCCATGATGCTGGAAGCACTGGAGAGACAATGGAGGCTGTCTCAGAGATATAACTTTCACTGACCGTCTGAGGGACATTTCAGGCTGATGAGCTGGATGGTGAGATTGACTTGCGCTCCTGCACAGATGTGACAGAATATGCAGTGCAACGCAACTACGGCTTCCAGATACATGTGAGTACTTAAGAAGGTAATGGGGATTGTTCTGTTCCCTCTGCCTCCTCACACTGCCTGCAAATAGTATCTGCTAGTTGTCTGCTCACAGACTGGGAATGTGAGCTCATTAGAGCAGAGACGGTCTCTGGGTTTGTTTAGCCTGCTGACTGAATCGGCTCCAAGGCACTGTAGGGGAAGGGTGGTACAGGAGGCCACAGGTGAAGCGATTTCAATACAACTCATTCAGGGTTAGTGTGTCAGCACCACCAAAGATACCTTTGCTGTCACTAAAACACTTATACGAAGTTTTCCCCAGCAGTGGGATGCTGCAATGAAAAAAACCATCTCCCCAGCTACTAGGGATTGTTTCTGCCTATGTGTGCTCCTAATGGAATAGAAATTGGGACATCTTTAAGAGTGAGGGTTCCTTGGGAGCTGGCCAGCAAATCTCATTGTAAATTTGTTCCACGTGCCTGACCAGTTAGCCCCTTGTTGGCCATGTCTGGGTGGTGAGCTGACCTCATTCTGAGCCTTTAAGTGTCCTGCCTCTTGTTGGTGTGACTGAGGAGAGTAGAGAGGGGCCTGTATGGTTACGTTCTTGGTGATGGCTTTTCTCTGACTCTGTAAGGTACCAAAGGCAGATACCATCAGGCAGGGCTGGCAGGTACCTTGTCATGGGAGGGTGAATGGGATATTACCTCCTCCCCATCTCAGACCTACTGTTTTCTCCCACTGTCTTCCGTGGCAGTGGGCAGGACATTGACTGGAGAGCGGTGTTTTGGTTCTCCCTTTCAGACGAAAGATGCTGTCTTCACTCTATCAGCGATGACCTCGGGAATCCGGAGGAATTGGATTGAGGCATTGAGGAAGAACGTGCGTCCTGCCAGTGCTCCAGATGTCACCAAGTACGTATCTCTGGGAATGTTCCCTCTGCCGTAGCACCCATGCTGCTCATCACTACTGAGATGGCTATCTGGGTTGGTACATTGGACAGGGAATAGTGGACGTCTCTTCAACTCATCTGGGAGTGGGAGGAGGTGCCTTGCCACTTGCATTGGTAGGCACCAGTGATAACCCTTTAAAGGCCCACATCACAGGCATAGGCCAGGGAGAGATGAACACACGCCCCAGCATAAATGACACCAGTTTGGTACACTAGTATAAACTTCACCAGGAATAGGACAGGACAGATGTGCAGCTGTCCCATGGCTAGGAACAGTTACTAGACAGTGTGGGGGATGCCTTTTTGCCTTTAGCAGACTCTCACCCCATGTTGAAGGTGGACAGACGGAACCTAAACTTAATCAGGGGTGAAACTCTAGTGACATCTTTCTAGGGCAGTTCTCCACGTTGGGTAAAGTTACCACAGTTTAGGAGTTTGCATAATTTGTCCACTACTTTTATGCTGGTATAAATATTCCATCATCCTTACAGGATCAGTTGGGGAGTGCAGGAGGAACTCCTGAGGCCTTGTATTTAAGGTACTGTCAGGTGACCTAACAGCAGAGGAGCTCTCCCTGAATCTCCTGTATAGGATCCTTTGAAGTATGAAGTTGAGGCTTATCAGCAGAGGCTGGAAGAGCTAGGGTTATTTAGTCTGGTGAAGAGAAGACTGAGTGGGGGGACTTGATAAGTCTTCAACTACCTGAAGGGTGACTATAGAGAGGATGGAGACGGGCTTTTCTCTGTGACAGGGACGAAACTAGGAGCAACGGCCTCAACCTGCAGCAGAGGTAATTGGGTTGGATATTGGAAGGAACTTTCTGACTATGGCAGTGGTCAAGCATTGTAACAGGCACCTACGAGACACGGTGGAATTTCCATCCTGGGAAGTATTCAAGAGCAGGTTAGATAGACACTTGTCGGGGATGGTTTATTTGGGGATGATCCTGCCTTGAGCATAAAGCTGGACTAAATGACTTTTTAAGTCCCTTTCAGCCCTACTTTCCTATGATTCCTGTGCATGTGGGGGTGACTTTTACTTGTTATCTGCTCACCCCTCTGTGCAGTGTCTCATTCTTGTCTTCCCCCAGTTTCGCCACCATCTCTTCCCCTACCCAAACAAATGTTAGTGTAAGAGTGCCTGAAAGGAAGAGGTAATGTCAAGTTTTTCATCCTTCCTACATGGGAAAGGGGAGAAGGAAGGAGTCTCCTTAGTCATAGGAGGGGAGGAGCTCTGAAGAGCATAGCTGGGTTGGTGAGCATAAGCCCACAGCTCAGACTCAATGATTGCAAGTGGCAGCTAGCATCTTAAGAGCCAGTTCTGGTTCTTCATGTCATGTGGAAACTGTTCTTATCACAGAGCTGCTGAACAGGGGGGGTGGTGCACACGTGTGCACGCATGTGGTCAGGAGGTTCCCAGGGCTGGGCTACCCAAGGGTGTGGCAGCAAGATAGGCCTGGGGTGCATTGGCAGAAGCGTGTGTGGGCAGTTTGCACAACACCTGCTTGCATTACTCCCAGCACTGCGTCTCCCTCATGGGCTCATGCTCCCATTTCAGGCTGTCTGACTGCAACAAGGAAAACTCCTTCAGTAGTTATGTACCCCAAAAGAGCTCCCTCCGTTCGGAGGAGCAGCGTTCAGGCACGGGGTCAGAGGTTATCTTCAAGGGCAGTTACCGGAAAGCAGACGGACAGCGCCAGGCTTTCAACTATGTGGAGCTGTCCCCCCTGCAGCAGGGCCCCTTGAACCAAGGGTCCCCACAGCGGACGAGAGGGAGTTTGAGGGTCTTTGACAGAACATTCAAGCATGAGGAGCTGGAACGGGACCTGGCCGTCCGCTCGGAGGAGAGGCGGAAGTGGTTCGAGGCTCCTGACAGTGGAGTCCTGCAGACTGATGGCCCAGCTCGGGATCTCTTCCGCAAGGGGTGTGAGAAGGAGCCTATGGGCCAGTCCCTGTCCGAGGAGCAGCGCAGTCGGCTGAAGGAAGAGATTGAGAAGAAGTGGCTGGAGCTGGAATGCTTGCCCCTGAGGGAGTCGAAGAGAGTCCCCCTGACAGCACTGCTGGACCAGAGCAGAGAGAGCCACAGGGACACCAGTGAAGCATTGGAGAAGGAGGTAGGAGCTGACTTGCTCTCTGGCACCACGTTTGCTTCTTCTCAGTTTGGCAGAGGGAGCCCCAACACTTCCATGCTCTTCCAGGTTGGGCTTAGCTGATGGAGGTTACATCTCTTGTTGGGTAGGGTTGTGATGCTGGGAAAGCAATGTCCTTTGCTTCCTATCTGGAGTATGAGAGCTTTAGCTCACATTGCACTCATAGCCCAGTTTCCCCACCAGCTTAAGGCCTGTGTTTGGAGAAACAGCTTGCTCACATATAGACAGCTTGGCCAAGCTCAGGCCTAGTGTCATTTGGTGAAATGCCACTGACTTGCCTTGAGTTGAGACTGGTGATTAAACTTTTATGCTGTCATGTCCAAGCAATCCCAAACCTCCATGCTGTCCTTTGTGACAGGAGTGCTCCTCATTACTTTCCCATTGAGCAAAGAGTATGTCTCTCCTTCTTCCATATGGAGGTTGTGAGCCTCTCATTCCAAACCCTTATAGGTGCATTTCTGTCCATCAGGGAGAGTGTGGTTCATGCTACACGTGTCTTGATGGAGGGCCTTGTCCCTTCACCTTCCCAGGCTGACCAGCTGGGTCCTACCTCACTGTGTGATATCCCCTTCCCCTCAATACAGGAGGTCAATTAGGGTTCCCATAGAAACACATTTCCTTCATTTTTTTTTTTTTTTTTCCCTCATTGCCCAGGCTGGTCTGGTCTGGCTGGAATATAGCATGTAAATTCTGAATCGGGGCCTTTTCTCCCATAGCTGAGTTGATTTCATATCCTGGCTTCCTGGCACAGGTTCAGTCCCTGAGGGCACAGCTGGAATCCTGTCGTGTTGGTGGTGAGAGCCTTCGTGACACTGCAAAGCCTCATGGAGATGGCAGTGTGCCTCGAGGCTACATCTCCCAGGTGAGGAGGGTCAGCAGCAGGTCAGAAGCCCCTCTCAGCTGTTAGTCTGCTCAGATTCCAGGCAGGGTAGAGATTTGAGGGAGACAGGAGATTTCCACCTATCTCGATTACCTTGCAGGGTGCATACATTACATTAATTAGCATTGCCATGGCAACCAAAAGGGAGCCCAGTTATCACGTTAATGACATGGCGGTTGATGAGTTATGCCAGCCCTTAAAGAATCTGGTGCCCAAAGACCCATGCAAAGGATAAGGGCGTAATTTGAAGAGGTTCTGTCCTGTGTTGCTGGAGTGGAGTCATGCTGAGGGATGGGACTACTACACCACAACACCTTGGTGGCACTGGCCTGGCCTGGGAAGCCGTCTCCCTCCTCAGGAGTGAATTTCAGGACAGGGTCATGTGTGAGCTTAGTATGTATTAAGACTCTCAGATGAAGGAACTGACCAAGACCTTCCACAGATTTACAGACCCTGCAACTTAGGTGTGGTTGTCTGAAAGCCTCAGAGGGGACAGATCAAAGCCTCTGGTCAAAGGTAGCTTGGTCCAAAGGTATGGGACTGACCTGAGCCTCTGCTGTGCCAAGAGTAGCCAGGATGTAGCTGGATCTTGTTGATGTTGCTGGTTGGCAGCACTCAAGTCTTGGCAAATAGAGGATAGCTGGTTCAGTTTCCAGGGACAGACACACATAATGCTTAGACTGGATGAAATACAGTTTAAACCTGATGCAAACAGACATATGAGCCTGTTACACTGACTTAAAAGCTGACTGGAATGGTTAAAAAATGTACCTGGAAAATCAAGTACTATTTTGTACCAGTTCACTATGAACCAGTTTCAGTGTTATGTGTGGACATCAAGCATTCCATGGCAGGGGTCTGGTCAGTCCTCCAGGTATCCCACATTGCATCACTCCTCACCGCCACTCCCAACTGCTGCAACTCCCTGCTCTGATACCAAGACAGAATTGTGCTGTCTCTTTCTTTTTCCTTTTGTTGGCACAGTTTATCACAGAGCTCCGTTACACTGTTTGTTCAATAAAAGCGATCTTTCTAACAACCAGCTGTGTCCTCACTCCCTACTTGACTGTAGCTGCTCATCATGTCCTTGCTGCAGCCCCTGGGAACCCAAAAGCATGGGTCTAAGCACGTCCTCCATGCCCGCCCCCACCCCTAGTCAGGCAAGCAGACCTCAGACTTCAGTCAGCTCCAGGCTATTGAAGTTTATTGAATTTGTGTGTTTAGGAGAGAAGTGAAAACTCCCCCAGCTACATGTTGCCCACCCCCTGGGACCCTCAAAGCACGGGTACAAGCACTCCCCCTCCAACTTGTCCACTAAGAGGCATGTAAACTGGGTTCTCACTCCCTCCACCTAGTGTCAGAGCCCCAGCACTTCACATACAAATATGAAACAGTTCCCAATCTGTGGCATGTGGGAATGGTTTAATTGTTCTGTGCGCCTGCACTCTCATGAGCTGCTCTCCCCATTGCCAGGAATAACTGATGCCTTTTATTTTGTTGGGGAGGGGGAGGTGTTTTGGACATAACATGAGGATATGGCCAGGGATAGAAAAAAGACAGCTGTGGCAGGCATATGATAAAAGTCTAAAACCATGGATCCTGTGGAGAAAGTAAACAAAGACTTGTTCTCTGATATCTGCCTCAACACTAGGACTAAGGGATATAGAATAAAATTCATTTGTTTTAAACCTGATAACTAATAAAGGAGGCTCTTTGTCACACAGCATGTTGTTAAGTCAAGGAACTCATTGCCACAGGATGTTGTGGGCTGAAAATTTAACTGAGTTCAAATGGGGATTGGATAAATTGGTATTCTCTTAGTGGGTATCAAACACGAGAGTTAGGGGATGCTGCCTCAAAATTAGGATTTTCTAGGTCTCTGAATGAAGCTGTAGGGGAGGGGACAAATAAGCCTGGATAGGCTGTGCTTAATACTTTTCCCATTTAGCATCTGCACTCTGCTGCTGTGCAAAACAGGGTATTGTAGGCTTAACCTATGGTCAGACCCAGCAAAGTGTTTCTTATGTTCAGGACTAATGCCCTGTGTGCCAGTCATCAGTGAGCATAGCTTTCTCTGTGCAGCCATCACAGAACATGTGCTCATGATTGAGGGCAACTCCCTTGACACTGGGCATGCTTCATTTGTGCAGTCAAGTCTCTGGCAAAATGCTTCCCAACGGAGAGGGAGGAGGAGTGCTGAGTGCCTGGGGAGCTAAGGTGGTAACCCTCGACCTCTTAATCTCTCTGTGGCCTTGAAGTGAGCTCATTCAGCTGGAAAAAAGGGCCAATAAGGGTCCTACTTTGCAAGGTCCTGTGCACTTTCTCTGTCCTGGGGGTGAAAGGATGAGCCTCTTGGGCTCTGGCCTTAGCGTCACCATGTTCATGTGATTCCTGTTACACATGTAAACTCTCAAGAGAGGCTGTCTTGAAGTAACCCAGTCAGGTAACTGTCCTGTTGCAATTGATCCCTCACAGATAAAGCCTCTGTATCACGTGGTATCTAATGCAGCCAGTGAGCAGCGGCGCTGGGGGCCTGATGAATATTACTCTCTGCAGGCCCCATGCTGTTTAATCAGCTTCCATTATCAAACAGATTGGAAGAGTCAGTTTTTTTAAATCGGGCCCAAACTGCCCGTCCATTAAAAGAGGGCTTTTCTGTCATCCTCCCTCTTCACTCTCCAGGGTTTCTTAGCCAGTTTCAAGATAAATCACAAGACAGCAGAGCAAAATGTGAGGAGGATTATGTTAACCACTCCTCTGGAGTCTTCAGGGTGATTTTTTTTTACTGTCCAACTAGAGCAGATAGCAGCCACCCTCCTCTAATGCTGGTGGTACAGCAGATGGCGACCACAGGTCCCAGAACTTTGCCCAACCCAGCAATAGTTTCTGTATAGTCATTTTCCAGGGTGCAATGTGTGTCTCACTGGGGTCTGTGGAGGTGAGGGGGCAGCAGCCTCAGGACTACCAAAGGGAATTGGCTCTCAACTATCAGCCAATGCTCATGGGACTTTTATGAAAGAAAGAACTCTAGCTGCAAATGTTCCCAAATGTCCTGGATGTTACGAAGGCAAAAGAGTCTTCCTGAGGTTATTGAGAGCCTGGAACAATAGCTTAGTAGCTATGATGCTGGAAGATCTGCATTGTTAGCAGTCTCTTGCACATCCGAGGTGTATGAAGAGAGGAGGATTGTGGGATGTGGCCCTGTGGCCTTGCCTGTTACAAAGTGCTGCTGTCAGAGCTGTGATGAGCTTACACCTGTCCCAACAGTTGTGGCTTTGCTAGTGGAACCCCCAGGCTGGACACAGCTTCTGCCTTTCGCCGAGCTGGTGTGCCACCTTGGCAGCAGCATACTTGCATCTGCCACAGGGTGCCCAGCCGCTGCAGTGCTGCTGCTGACTGCTGGAGTGGCCCCGTGCAATTTGAGAAGGACCTTTAACAGCATGTGATTGAGTGGAGAGGGTCAGAGGAGGCGCCATAGTCTTTCTGTCTCTGTCAGTCCAGTCGTTGCCTGGCCCGTCCACTCCCTGGGCTCATTGTCCTCTAACAGCATTCCTTTCCTTTCTCCCCTCTTCTGCACGGCAGGAGGCCTGTGAGCGCAGCTTGGCAGAGATGGAGTCTTCCCACCAGCAGGTCATGGCAGAGCTGCAGCGGCATCACCAGCGGGAGCTGGAGCGGCTGCGACAGGAGAAGGAGAGGCTCCTGGCTGAGGAGGCGGCAGCTACAGCCGCAGGTGTGGCCTGGAGCTGAGGTCCTCTACGTGAAGAGATGTCCCTCACATTGAGGAGAGATCTTCACCATAAGTCCCCTCCTGCCAGTTCTCTCTGAAACCCCCCTCACTTCCTTTACCAGCACTTTCTTTCCTAGGATGCCTTGAACTTCTGGAAACTCCACAGGGTGGGGAACAAACCTAGCTACAGGCTTGATTCAATGAGGTGCTGAGCACCATTGAATCCTGCTGTCCTCAGTCAGTGCCAGCATCTCTGGGATTGGGCCCTGACCATAGAAAACAGTTTAATCTCTACAGCATTGCAGGGATGCAAGTTAGCTAAGCATTGCTCTGGGAGTCAATATTTTTGGCTCTGTCTCCAGTTATGGTAGTGGCCACCTGCAGGTCCTTGGCCTGGGCACTTCACCTCAGTCTGCCCCCACATTCTGGTATGTTTAGACGGCAATCCTTGCTCTCTGGGTATGAGCAGCACTAGGCATCCCAATGTTAATTGGGGCCTCTGGAGTAAGCAGATGTTCCTCCATGGATCAGCGATTACCCTTTCAGCTTTGCAATGGGCTGGTCACTTGCTGAGATCCAAGGCAGAGCTAATGAGACCTTTCTGAAAAGATCTTGCGATAGGTAGGAGTATGGTAGTTGGTCTGCCTTGTTTTCTGTGGCCTCTAACACCCTGTAGTTAAGAGGACCGTGCATTCCCTGTGAATATACCCCTCTGCATCATGGGCTTCTGCATGCTGGGATCCAAACTGAAATTTGGAATTCCATTCCCACAAAGATCCATTCTTTGATCAGGGAAGTAAGGAGTGAGCAACTCAGCTAGCTGAAGGTGGCAGATGGTTATTGATACCATGCATGGTCTGGTCACATGCGGGCCTATGGCTCTTCGATGACAGCTGGGTGCACTGTGCCAGATTGGACTGAGGCCAGATTACTCTCTCTCTTTCCCACCCCCATGTCTTCACACTCTGTTTCTTGGGTATAATGATGTGGGTCCATTTGAAAAATCTGATCCTTAGATCTGATTATGCGCAGAGACTCTCATGTAACCCCATTACCACCACTTTGTCATGGCAGGAAGCTTCCAGCAGTTACATCTGTGGCTCACCCAGTACTGGCTGGGGTTATGGGTATTAGCATGGTGAATGTGCCCACTGCAGACCAGAGGATGGAAATACTGAGTCCTCCCTGGATTTGTAGGACCTTTAGCAGCAGCTGGGAATGTGCACCTGATGACCACACAGAGCCAGTTTGCCACTGCCAAACATTACCAAGCTGGGACTGGGCCACTTTGATTCCATGTCTTTGGGTCTCCATTTATTTCTAGCCATTGAAGCACTGAAGAAGGCCCACCAGGAGGAGCTGAATAAAGAGCTGGGCAGGACGCGCAGCTTCCAGGATGGTGGGTCCAGCTCTGACGCACTTCAGAGGCAGCACCAGTAAGGAGTCTCTTCACATGTTTCCTTCCCAGGGTGCCCAGGCCAAGTTTCTTGGGTGTGGTGGGGGGTCCCTTTCAGATATCCCCTCATCTAGGGAGCAGAGCAGGCCAGCAGGGAAGGGTTGGAGGATTCCGGCCACACTGATATTGGGGGTATTCCTTATGTCCCATCCCTCTTGTCTTCCTCCCTGATAATGTGGCTTTAGCTTCTAGCTTTAAGCTGCTTCCCTTCCCTCTTCCCAGGCACAGACAGGGGAGGATGGACTGAGGTGCTGACTCTTCAGGTGACATTCCCCTCCCTGCTGTCAATAAAATGGCAGGGTGCTGTGGGAGGAACCAACAGCTCCCCTGTCCCTAAAACACCAGCAGAGGCAGCCATGCTTAGATTCTCCCAGCTTTTCAAAGGGCTCCTCCATTTCATCTCCTGTCACATGAGGTGCCTGAAAGCAGCCACTGTGTGTGTGGTGGGGTGAGGAGGGCTGAAGCCTTGATCTGTGTGGAATACATTTTTTTTTTCCTCCAGCCCTCTGTCCTCCCCTCAGTGCTGACAACTAACCTTTGTCTTCTGATTATCACCTGTTCAGGGGAGTGACAGGAGTGCAGGGTCAAGGCTTTCAGTGGGCAAAGGCAGTGCCAGTGCACAGATAGAGATATGGAAGGGGGCACAGCAGGTGCCTTGTTTTTCTTTGGTAACATTGGGCATCTGTGGCAGGTTGGACCTGGCTTCTCTGAAGCGGGAGCTGCAGGTTCTTTCTGAGCAATACTCCCAGAAGTGCCTGGAAATAGGGAACCTCACAGAAAAGGCAGAAGAGCGGGAGCAGATGCTGCAGTGCTGTCAGCAGGAGGGGAAGGAACTCCTCCGGCAGAACCAGGCAAGAGATTTTTCCCTGGAGGTAAAGCTCGCAGGGGCGTGTTTCCTGGATAATCAGAAACCCCTTTAATCACTGAGCTATGCTGTCCAGAACTACATGAACCACCTCTATCCTGAGCCTGGGATGTGTGTGTGTGATAGGGAGGGGGTTGGGGTTATGGTCCTTGGGGTTATGATCCTGGCTGTCAGCTAGAGCCACACCAATCAGGCAGGGTCTGGAAGCTGTTACACACTTGTGTTCACTGTCCTAATGGGCTCCACTCTTGGTCCCCAGGATCTGCAAGCACGCCTGTCGGAGGAGATTGGGAGGCTACGGACCTCCATCGCTTCTCATGGTTCTGGGGATGGGGCCTTGCACGATAATGAGAGGAGCTCCTGCGAGCTAGAGGTAAGGAGACCTGCTGGGGTCACGTGGTGCTGGCCCGCTTTGAAAACGTGCATGGCCAGCCACTGGGGACTTTGGACACCTGAAGGGAGGAGCAGCCAGGGCCATCAGCGGTGGTGTCCTGCTGGTATTAGGGGCCCTGGATTCCTGTGATGCCTAAGGCTGATGACACCAGCTGATGCAGGAAGGAGCTACGCAAGCTTCCCCTCTAGCACTCTGCCAGCACTCCCTGCTCTTGATCTGCAGTACTTCCTGCCCTGGTGCTCTGGGCCCTTCCTTCCTACCCCCACCCTCTACAGCACATGCTTCTGCCAAAACCCTGCAGCAAGGAGGCAGTTTCTGAGCCAGGCTGTATCAGCTTAGGCCCTTCATTCTGTCTCACTCACTCCTTGCAGGTGCTGCTTCGAGTGAGAGAAAATGAGCTCCAGTATCTGAAGAAAGAGATTCAGTGTCTTCGGGAGGAGCTGCAGATGATGCAGAAGGTACGGTGCCCCTGGAAGTGTTTTCCTTCTAGTAGAGTTCAAGGCAGGAGGGACGCCAAGACCTTGCTGAAGTGTGAGGCAGGGCGTTTTGGATTTGGGAAAAGCATTTCTTGCTGGGGGGGAATTGCGCAGGGTTGCCCAGTCCTCCTAGATTAACCCTCTGGAGCCCAGTTCTGTATGTGCATATGCCATATACCTGCAGGAAGGGAGCCTTTGCATGTGGGGAAGACCTGGCCAGCTCTGGGTGGAGCTCCAGTTCAGCTGCTTTATTTCCCCTCCCTCCATTTGCCATCCATCCTTCAGCCAGGCCATGTCACCTGCTTTCTCTCCTGTACCCTCAGTAACTCACCATGAAGGGAGGATTAGCTCCACTGTGTAACCTTTCCCCTTTCCCAGTGCAACATGGTTATGGGCATCCCTTTCTGTTTTTATTTCTCCATGGCTTGAACCCTCTGGCTTCCATCCCTTCTGCCCTTTGACTGTTCTACAGTTGTATGGCCCTCGTCCTCAGGGAAACCTTCATGACACCAATGCCTACGTTTCCCATGGCTCCTACTTCTGTCCTCTTGTACACACTCTTCTCCCTCAAGGGGAGGCCCTTCAGGTGCTTCTAGAGAACAGTCTCACTGAGCCAACCTGTTCAGCCTTGAGTAGATCTCAGTTGTGAATTCCTCCTCCCAGCTGCCCCTTTAACTGGATCTCTGGGGGTGCCATTGCTGTACCAGAGCAGTGATGTCTCTTCTTGGCAGTCTGAGGCCTCTGCCCAGCTCCCAGACTCCCTCTGCCTGCATAGTGAGGCAGAGCAGACCAGGGCTTGGGTTCAGATAGAGGTCTCCCTCTCCCTGGCTTTCCTCCCAGAGGCATTGGTGCTGCTCCCCTCTCCTTCCCCCTCCCCCATGAATACCAGTGTCTGGATTGTGACTCCTTGCCTTCTGCTGCAGGATAAGAGGTTTGCCTCGGGGAAATACCAGGATGTCTACGTGGAGCTGAATCACATCAAGGTGCGCTCAGAGCAGGAAATCGAGCAGCTGAAGGAGCATCTGCGCCTGGCCATGGCGGCTTTGCAGGAGAAGGAGACGCTGTGTAACAGCATTGCTGAATAGAGGTGAAAGACTGGACATGGAGGGGTCAGGACTTGCCAGCTTGCACTGGGGAGGAACATAGGTTATGGGTCACGAGCACCCAGGGGTTGCTGCAGGGCAGTACTCCACTCATGGTCCCTAGGCTGCAGGGGTGTGATGGGTGGGCTTGAAAGGCAGATGCAAGGGAGGCATTGGCCATCCCTGACTCGCCCCCAGTGCTAGGCAGCATCGTGCTGGACTCCACACACTACTACTTGAATAGGGAGAAACTTTATTCATACCTGTGTGTTTAAATCTCTGTGGAAGTGGCTTGAATTAAGCAAAACTCTCTGTCTCTGTTGACCCTGGGCCTCTCCTACTATTGGCATTTATAAGGAGTGAGGTGTAAGGTGGCCTAAGGGAGTGATCAAGAGTGCCCTCTTTTCTTGCTTGCTGGGTCATGCTGTCTTCGAGGCAAGAGCAAACTGTTGGGTGTCTTATTCTGACTGGATCTGGTCCAGTGGGAATTTTCCATCCTCATGGTTCCTCTTCCTGCTCACGGCACCACTGGCAGGGCTCAGACCACACAACCCCAGGTGCTGTTGATGCTTATTCATAGGCAGTCTGGGGTTGCAGTACAAGCTGTGACATTAGCTGGCAGTTGGGCACATAGTGGCCCTCTCTCCTCAGCTTAGTGAAGTGTCAGCCTTCTGCCTGGTAGAAATAGTGTTTTTAAGTCATTTGTCTTGTTTTTCTTTTTTTTTCCCCTCTTCAGGTCCGTTTTATTCTGCTCCTCACTTGTTGGGAAGTGGTGGCTGCATCCTATCCATTCACACAACCTTCCTAGAACCCATCCCCTCGTGCCTTCCAATGAATCCCTGTCCCATGTGCCTGCGTAACTGAGCACGCCATTTGGACTGGCTCCAACATGCACCTTCTTCAGGATTTTATATGTGAAAAGATATTTTATAGAGTTTTTGGGGGTTTTTTTGGAAGGGGAGGGGAACATTTTAAGCTACTATATCTTTTAGCCAGCAGCTGAAGACAGACTTTGTATTCCCTGCTGCCCCTTCTGGCCACGAGTGCACACAGGCTCTAGAGTGGCTGTCTTGTAGCACTCTCCTTCTTCTTCAAATGTTTGTGTGAGCCCACTTGGATGTGCTAGAATGACTGACTGTGGCCCACAGCAGCCTGTGCAAGAGACAAACTAACCATAGCAGGGCAAGCAATGGCTCCATCTGCCCTGGGCACATCCATGGGGAGATGGTGGTGAGAGACCATGTGACCAAGTCTATCGGTGACTATCCTCCAACTCAGAGTACTGCACTAAAGGCAGATTCCTGCAGGAGTAGGCCAGCTGTCTGTCTCACTGTGAGGCTGGTGCCTACCGCAGTGTGGGACAAGCCTGCCTTCTGCCTGCACACCCCTGGGGAGTAGTGGACACTTTCCATGAGCCGCTGCTGCCTCTGCCAGAGCCAAATAACAAAGGCAGCTGCTGCTCCGCTGCACAGCTCATAGTTTAACTTAATAAAAATATTCCGATATTGCAGGGGATCTTGTATGACTGTTGCATTGGCCTCAGAGTCATTGATGGTGTCAAGTCAGGCTTGTCCTTTACACAGCATCTTTGAACCTTCACGTTGGAGGATGGCTCCTTGCTTTATCGAATCAGCAGTGTCCAGCAAGGGCTGCCAGTTGTGCCTAGAGACTTTGATGTAAGAACTGACATTCTGGGTCAGACCAAAGGTCTGTCCAACCCTGTATATCTTGTCTCTAATAGTGGCCAGTAGCAGATGCTTTCTAGAGCAGTGGCATCAACATAACGCTTGTGGGCCAGCTCTGGCCCCTGGAGGTGTCATCTAGCTTATAAGGCTTCTCAGTGGCTGAACCACTTTGTTCCATGGATTTGGCCTACAGGGTTTGTTGCCATAGCTTCAGTATTAATCACTGCTACTTTAGTGTGGCTTCAGAAACCAGGGAGTTAATTCCACTTGCCTTTCCCTCTTGAGGTTTGTAGGTGCCCCTGGCAGGGGGGTTTGGGGGACAAGCGGCAGCAGCAACATCATTCACTCCCTGGGTTCTGGAGATGTGCCAAAACAGTGGCTCTGGCAGCAGTGGGGACTTATGCCACCGCCATTCATGCGTTGTCCAGTTTGAAGGGCCCAATGACCCTTTGGTTAGACACCCCTGCTTCAGAGAGAGCATCACGAACAGCTTGCCTAAAGTGTTCCATCACCTGTCGGACTCCCCCAGTCTCCAGCAATGGGTTACATCCCTGACTTTTATGGTTAATAGCCCCTGATGGATCTAGTCTGTACCCAGTTATTTAATCCCCTTTTGAACCTTGTTAGACTTTTGGCCTCCTCAACATCCTGTGGCAGTGAAGCTCTGCATATTCATGATGCACTGTGCTTTAAAAGGAAAAAAAGGACTTCTTTTTGGTTTGTTTTAAACCTGCTGCCTGATAATGTCACTCCTCCCCGTAGTTCTTTTATTATAGTAGATGTAATGAATAATACTGCCCTATTCACTTTTTCCAGACTATGATTTTTATAGCTCTGTCATATCCCACTCAAATTTTTTCAAAGCTGAAGACTCCTAGTCTTTTCTGTCTCTCTTTATATAGCAGCTGTTCCATAGCCCTGATCAGTTTGTTGCCATTCTCTGTACCTGTTCTAGTTATGTTGCATCCTTGTTGAAATGGGGTGACCAGAACTGCACACAGCATTCAAGATGGGGTGCTTCATGGAATTATATTTTCATAGATTTCATAGACGTTCGGGCTAGAAGGCTGGAGGATCATTGAGTCCAGCCCCCTACCCCAGGGGCAGGAAGTCAGCAGGGATCATAGGATCCCAGCAAGATAAGCATCCAAATGTGTCTTGAAAGCATTCAAAGTGGGTGTTTGAACTGCCTCCGGCAGCAGTCTATTCCAAACCTTGGGGGCTCAGACAGTAAAGAAGTTCTTCCTTATGTCCAGCCTGAATTGGTTATGGAGGAGTTTGTGACTATTCAACCTTGCCATCCTGGGGGGGGGCAGGGGCGCTCTAATGAACAGATGTTCCCCCAGATGCTTTGTTTCCTCCTTTGATTCCTAACATTTTATTTGCCTTTTTAACCATTACTCTACATTTGATCTGAAAACAGTCCACAATGATTCCAGGATCTCTCCTGAATGATAATGGTTAATTTGGAGCCATCATTGAGTGTGTGAACTTTTTCCAACATACTTTACTTCACACTTCTCAGTGTTGATTTTCCTCTGTTGTTCCTGCCTCTGTGTCAGTTCTATGAGATATCCCTGTAACGTCGCCACCACCAGCTTCGGATTTGATTACCCGAAATCATTTGATATCATCTCCAAACATCACTGTTTACTCCTTTTTCCCTTTCTAGTATATCTCGATCTGGCATGTGGTGACTTGATTGCAAGCCTTCTGCAAATGTTGGGGAAGTGTGTGTGTGTGTGTGTGTGTTGGCTCACTTCCCTGTCCACATCTGTTTCTCTTCACCTGCTTTCTCCCCTAGCCCCACCCTAATTTTTGCTTTTGAAGCATCAGACAGATAAGAAGTACTGTGCACTTGATGTCATCCCTAAGTGTTAATAGAGTTGGACGCAGCCCCTGGAGGCAGCTGCAAGAACAAAACCTTCAAGAGTGGGCCTTGGAAAACAACTGTCTATGCCCTGCCTTCAGGAAACGCTGGAAAAAGTAGGACTTCTCCAGATTCCAGCAAGAATTTCCTCTCCCTTTCCTGAGCTGTTGCTGGAGGTGCCTTTGTCCCAGAACCATGTACCTAGTGGATGCTTTGAGAGGGATCTGTAGGCAGGTGAGCACTGTCATCACTTCCAGAACATAGGTGGGTGTTTCATTTGCTGTCAGGACTGTCTTACAATTGTAGCTGTCTCCTGGCATGGGAAGGATATTCCTAGTGCTTGCCTGGGAGTTGAGCCCTGGGGTGATACCTTCAGCTCAGCTGCTTCAGGGCTGCTACTCTGGCAGTTGGAGCACAATCACTCATGACCTGCTGAAACATTAGTGGTCAGAAGAAGAAGAGAGTAGTTGGGTTATAGGACTGGGGAGGCAGTCAACAGAACAAACCAGAACTATGCAATGCAGAACTCTCCCTGCTTGATGATCCCAGATCATTCTGATTTGTGTCTGGAAAGCTGACTGGTAGATCTGACTTGGGATGGATAAGACACACTGTTCTTGTTACTCTGTCTTGTTCCAATCCTGCATCAACCAGCCTACAGATACTTGAGTGTTTGTTCTGAAAAAAATAAAATAAGGCTACTGAAATGATGGTGGCCTCAAGCTGGGTAATGCAGTACTAGGATTGGCTCACATGCAGTGCCAAACTACGGTGACAAGCTACTGCTATGTGGGAACCTGGTGGAGCTGAAAGCAATGAAACCTGGTGACCATTTTAGTGTAGCCATAGCACATGTGCAGAGCTTATTAACACCAGATGCCCTTTTAGGGTGAAGACACCTACAATTACATTTCCAGAGTATTCTACCATTGCTAAGATAATATGTACATGCACTCATGCATGCACAGAGAACCATAATGCAGAGCAACTTGGAGAGAGAAAGGCAGCTGATTTTGGGTGTGCGCGCAAAGAGGGAAGTTTGCGCACACAATCAGTTGAACTAGTTACAAATAACGTCTGGAACCCCTGTGATTCCTGGACCGTTATGAGATTGACTGGTACCTTAGGTTAAGCTTGGAGTAGACTGTAGTTCCAGTGCAACTAGGTAAAAGACTTTCTTTAGAGTCAGAAGATACCTGATTGGCCAATAGCAAGTGATGCAAAAGGAAGGCTGCTGAGTTCAACCCTCTTCCTCCCTTGGAGGGTTTTACAGATAAGTCTGGATTCTGCCTATTCTTATACCCTTGTTTAGATAAGAATAGGTCTTGTTGACATTTGGTCTTGCTCTGCTACCTCTCAGGAAACAATTGTGGTTTTGGAAGCAAATATCTAAGGTGCCTCTCCTACTGCAGGATGGTCTCCTGTGGCTGACTTATTGCTCTCACATCTACAGCAGTCGCCCCAAAGTCCTTAGTGCTGTAGATCAGAAAGCCTTTAAAACAAATACAAATGTCAGACTGCAATGGCACTATTCTGAACTGTAGTGTGGCCCATCCTGAACAATGGCAGAGTATTAAATGAGGGAAGTGTGTGTGTGACGTAATGGGAGGAAAGGTTATTTCAGCTGATTTAAGAACGGAGGAACTCCATGCTGGGTCAGATCTCATGGGTGTATCTAGCCTGTTAGTCTCTCACAGTGGCAGGGAATAGATGTGTAGGGGAGAAGTATTTAACCAGGGCCTATCCAGATCTGTCTCCTACTGCCCCTTTTCCCTTCAGCATTCAGAGGCCTAGGAGGTCTTAATTTGGAGGTTGCATTCCTATCATGTTTAATACCTGCAAATGGGTCTATCCTGCATGAATCTGTCCAGCCCTATTTTGAACTTGGTTATCAGCATCCACACAAATTCAGAGAATCAAAGATTAACATCTCTGATGTTGTCAGCTTGGTCTGGAGAAACTGGGAGTCGGGGAGTGGTAGAGGTAGCAGAGATTCTGGTCCAGCTCCAGCAACGTGAGATAAACTGAGGACCAGAAAAGGGCAGTTCTGATCATCTGGTGTTGCCTAGGCCATAGAGCTACCCCTGGAGTTCTGCAGGGAGCCTAGCAATTTGTGTTTAACTACTTCATGTTTTTTTCTAGGCAGCAATCCTCTCTCAGTATCAAGCCCCTGAGCAATGGAAAGTCCATGGTACCCTTGGCAGCCTTTTCCAAGTTAAACTCCATGCCAATCTGAGGAATTCTGCAGTTTTTTAAAGTGTTTAAAGGACTCCACATCTTACCTGGTCAGTCATCTCAGTGCTGTTTATTAAATGGATGGTTCTTTTGCTGCTTGTTATCCGGTCTTCTGAAAAGGTGCCTACACAGAAACCAAATGAAATGCTATTTCCATGCGTGCCTCCTTCCTGTTCTAGTACATCACTCCCATCAATGCCACTGAACTCTACTCAAACATTTTTAAACCTCTTAAAAGATGGGACTACCCACTCAAGGTATATTTACAACCTTAAAAACCTATGGAGTTATCAGTCAAACAGGTCCAGTTGCTGCAAGCTCATACATGTCAGAGGCCAGTTTCATTCCTCTGTTGCTAAGGCTTTGGTTTTCTTGGTGTTCACAGTAGTATCAACTCATCACTTTTAAATATGCAATGTGAAAACAAACTATCTCCTATTCTTATTTTTAAAGCAACATTAAACTCTTGAGCTTGTTTTGCCGGAGAAATAATGTACCACTGACTTTAAGCCAGAGGTCTTGGGACTTCAAGGAAAGTAGTTCCTTTATATTTAGAACCCTTGCAGAACAATTGTCCCACTGCCCAAGAAAACTCTGATGCTCATAACTATACTATCTTTCTCTTCTCCCTAAATCATTCAGTATAACTGACCTGCTGCTGCTTTTGCTCTTAAAAGTTACCAGCTAATAGGCACTGCAAAAAATTTATAGCCCAGTTGGAGTACATGATCTGACAGCATAAGAAATAAGGTTTTGACCTCAAGTGCTATTAAAATAGCTGCGGAGAAGGGGAGGAATATAAATCAGGCCTTGGGAATTTATTTTAGAGGGCATTTCTACTAGGCATTTCATCTGAAAAATGTGAATGAAATCAGACTTCTCCAAAACTGCTGATGAATATTTAAATAACTGGAAATAGGTGTGGAGATGCTTGTCTAGATCTGATTCTTCCTCCTTTCTAGAAATTATGGCTCTCTGCAGCATTCTTATCTTCCTAATCTTCTGAAGCTACAGAGCAGATTCCTGTAGGAAGGATGCCAGCATTGGGCTTAAAGAGATTTTAATCTAGAAGAAAATGACTCAGCTCAGCCCTTCTAAAGAAACAGCCTCTGGCTTCTAAAACCTGACTTGTTGAGCCAAAGGCAGATGGTTTCTTGAGGAATTGAAACTAGCAGGTTTCAACATGTAGCAATTGCTCACGGCATTCAGAGTTTCATAGTAGCTAGGGTCGGGAGCGACCTGAACAGATCATCTAGCCTGACCCCCTGCCACAGGCAGGAATGAATGTTGGGCTCATAAGACCCCAGACAGGTGATCATCCAACCTCCTCTGGAATTTGCCCAAGGTAGGGGCGAGGACCACTTCCCTGGGAAGTTGGTTCCAGATTTTGGCCGCCCGAACTGAAAATATTGCCTTCTGATCTCCAACCTAAACCTATTCTCCATCAGCTTATTACCATTGTTCCTCGTCACCCCAGGTGGTGCTGGGGAGAATATGGATCTTCCTATTTGCTGTTGATCTCCCCTGATGAGTTTGTAGGTAGCCACCAGGTCCCCCCTCAGCCTCCTCTTGCTGAGGCTGACCAGGTTCAGGTCCCTCAGTCTCTCCTCATAGGGCCTGTCCTGCTGCCCTCTCACCAAGCGGGTGGCCCTCCTCTGAACCCTCTCCAGGCTGGCCACATCCCTTTTGAAGTGTGGCACCCAGTACTGGATGCAGTACTCCAACTGCAGCCTGACCAAAGTCGCATAGAGGGGGAATATCACCTCTCCGGACCGGCTTGAGATGCACCTTTGGATGCAGGTATGACTGGCCTTGCTGGCTGCGATCTGGCATTGGCAAAGTTGGGAGCAGACCATCCCCTGAAGGCAATGGATGGTGGCATGAACATCGACAATCTAAGTGGCTGTGAGCTCTCATGGGCCCTGGGCTCGGCCTGTCTGGAACATGACACTATTATGAGGTGAAAACAGAATGCAAGTGGAAGCTCCATGTCAAATGCAAGAATCAGTCAAATGGGCTTTACAAACAGAGCTGGCACTGCAGAAACTTGATGGGACTTGGAAATAAAAGGAACAGGCAATCCCAGAAGAGCTGATACCATGGACCAAATCTAATATCCAGGAAAAAGAACTGCTGGTGGTACAGAAGCTTCTGCCAGTGAAGGACCTAAAACCAAAGCACTGAACATCTAGCTCTCTTGTTCCCAGGCTCTTTGACAGTTCCCTTATATTCTGTTGTAGCCAAAAATGCCAAGGTCTTTGATATCTAGAACCCCTGATACCACCAGGCCCTTGCCATCAGGGAAGGTCCAGGCACAGAAGTTAATGAGATCACTTTGGTACAGTGTAAAGATGTCATGAAACTTGCACCTCTGTTTCTTTATAATTTCAAGATGGAACAACCCCACCAACTGAGCTGGCCTTGGATGACCACACACTGGACACAGCAACCATCTAAAACCATCTTTTGGGTTGGCTTAGTTCAACCCTGAACCTAATAATAAACACCACTAGGAGACAATGCTGTTATCTGTCCTGTAACAGATGGGTAGGGAGCTTCTCAGTACTGCCTTTATCTGTGCAGTTCCTTAAGACCCCAGGCTGTGGCGCATTCCTTGAGAATATGGCTCTAGCCCTTAGGGCAGAGAAAGCAATGAATGTGCTTCTCTATTAGCAACCTCCTGCTAGTCCCATGGGGTAATTTCTTCACATCACTAGAGATGCCCACTGTCATGAGGCCAAAAGCCACTCCATGAGCCAGTAGATGCTCAATAGAGGGTTGAGTGAAGGAAGAAAACACGGGCCAAAACACTGGCAGAACTGACTGCAAATTCATAAAGGAGCTGCAAAGTAACATCTGGCACTGAGATCTTGTTCACTGTTTCCAGCTGGGTTGTAATGTTGGGTGAGTCCCTTCTCTATGTCCTCCATTTGGGGGTATGCTCAGGCCTAGTGGATGCCATAGATCTGCACTTCACCTGCAGTCATGTTCCATCCAACCCTAAAGTGTCCCCCTATTCCATGAAGACAGCAAAATGTGAGTCTTGATTACAGTCAGCAGGGGCCAGTTGAAGAATGTTGTACTCTCTAGTTGTACCACAACTGGCAGTGAAGGCAATGAGAGCATTTCCCACAGGTCAAAGATTATGCTTGCACTTCAGTTCCTAATTAAATTTAGTCATTGTCATTGGCTGGAATTCTGAGCCCTCCTGTTAGTTCTTCAACTCTCCCTGTCTTTCTGTTGTACTTTCTTCTGGGACACTACTCTCTTCCTTTACCAGTCTGTAAAGTGTACTGGCTGGCACTGACATCCTTGACATGAGTGCTGTACAAGGTCACCTTCAGGTTTGCCTTGTTTCTCCAGTGAAATCAGTACAAGACAGGAGTGTTCACACTTAGTTATTTCCAGGTATTTGCCATCTGTATGGCTCCCACTCAGACCCCAGTTTAAAGGTTTTCTTTGCAACCCTGAGAGCTAGAGTTTGTTTGTTTCTTTTTAAAGAGCAGTTTATACATGAACTACACAGGGGAGGCAGGCAGCCTGTGCTTAAACAAGCATTCTTGTTTATTCAAGGTTTGAAAACCAAACATGCTTCTAAAATACTGCAGTCAGATACAACCCAAGGTACAAAAAAAAAAATCTATGAGGGTGCCACCTACTGGTTTCCATTACAATAACAGGGTAGAAAGCTCCTTCCCGGCCCTCCTTAGCTGGACGAATGGCAAGAGGTTGGTGAATGAGGGTCATTCCACAGATGGACCCCGTGCACCATACATGGCCGAGATATAGCTAGGCACCAGCCTGACCCCATGCAGGGGTCCAACCCTGCTTATTGGGATCCAGCCATATGCCAGCCCTACCCTGCATGCTAGCACAATTTAGCAGGCAGGGCCATGTTGGTATTTGGCCTTTTGGTATCAGAGGAGCATCAATTAATGCTGCTGTCGCTTCCCCACCGCCAAATATCTGGTTGGATGACACAGTTCCACACACCAGAGGTTGAGCACTACTAGTCTATTTGGTCTTGAATTACATTGTTGCAATTCTAGGAAGACGTAGCTGTGAGCAGACTATGAACAGCTCTGGATGCAGTAAAAAGAAGAGAAATAGTACTGGGTTTAAACAACCAAAGAAGGGAACTCTTATCCAACACCCTAAGCACGCCTGCCATAAGCAAAATTAGATGGTCAGCCAACTGCCCATCTTCCTTCTTCCCTCCATGCAGCTGATTGTTCTCACAGGTCATCCTCCCCACACGTACAGTTGTGTCTTGGCAGCTTGCACTCAAGGTCAGTAACCTGGGTCTGCGTCAAAGCAGGGAGGAAGCCTGTTTCAGAGTTCAGATTCCTTGCCAGTAACATTTGCAAGGCCCAGCCCTCCTCCTTCAAATCAAGGAGATTCTAATTTAAGAGCTGTTGCCGATTATAATTTGGGCAGTGTGGCAGAAGGAAAGGCAATCTATCAATAAATGCTTTGCCACCTCTATAGTAGGCCTTTATGAATAAAATCCAGTACCTTAAATTCAGTCTGAAAACCAACAGGCTCTCAGGTAGACATCATAGTGTCAAATGCTGTTGCCATATATTACATTCCAGATTGACCCAAGGCAGTGGTTCTCAACCTTTTTTAGATGCGAGGCAACCCTCAGAAAATGCCAGCACTGAGCTTTCACTTGTTTCTTGACCATGGAAAAATACTAGAGCAATTCTTCTGTTTCAAAGAACTTCAGAAAGATAGGGCAGAATGGTTTTGACACTATGGATTCATTTTTAAAATCTCTGGGTTTTTCTTGTGAATCCTGTGTTGGCGTTTGCACACTTAACAGTGCTGAGGTTATGCAGCATCCCATGGCACCCTTAGAAGAATCTTGCAACAGCCTGCTTGAGCATCACTGACCTACGGTCAGAGATGCATAAGTCACATTAACGTGCTTAGCCACTGAAAGAAAGGGTGGCAATATCCTGGCTAGGTGCATAACATACAGAGCATTCATAGATAATAATGCTGTATTAGATTTTCAACCCATTCCTGGGTAAGTTGGCACCTTCCCATTTGTAACTGCAGGTAGAAGTGGAAAACATACCTCAGTCATAAGCACGGTTGCTTAACCAGGCATCTGTACATAGCTAAACTAATGAAGTGTGGAGGTAGCATCTTAATATAGTTCATTCTGTATTATGAGCCCCATCCCCATGACTTACTGCTACTGCAACATACTTGAGCAAAGCAATAATGCTTCAAAGCACCATGTGCTGACAGTACATCTTGCACCCGCTCTAGCACTGGTTTCCTAATACAGTAAAATGGAGCAGTGTGTATCAAAAACAACTGGTCTGATAGAAAGGTGACTCAGGAAAACTATTTCCTTGCAAGGTCACCTGTACCAGCACCCTGCCCCAGGCCTGGCTGCTTAAGATAAGAAGAGATGGGTGTGACTACTACTTTTTCCACAGTGCAGTGCTCAGGCATCCTATAGTACCCAGCTGCTGTTAAACGCAGGTCTCCTTCAACTATTTAGTTCTTTAAAAATAATCAACTGCTGTAGCCACCTTCTGGATGGGATTGTCAGTGGGTTGGTGCAGGTGGCTTGTATTTGTGTATAACTCTCTACAGCAGCAGAGTAAGGACCCAGAACCATACAAAACCACGTGTCCTTGTATCTTCAAAACCCCGATTGCATTTTAATGTATTTGCACTGGAATCCTCCCTCCTAGCCAGTCAGCCCCTATAGCTGTGTATACAGTTATATATATGGATATAGTGTTCATCCGGGAGGAGAGAGGGCATGACTGTAAAGTGATCTCCCTTCTCAGGAGCTGGCCTGCCTAAAACGTTCACCAAATTCCTTTGGGCTTGACATGGCTTGGCAATGCATGTCATGCCCATTTGTTTCTTTTGCATGCCTTGTTTCAACCCACAGTTTCTCCCCACCTTAAAAAAATGCTTTTAACCCAAGTTCAGGGCACTTTACATTTTAACCTGCTCCTTTTCCAGCCCCTTCTGCTCCAATGGGGGTGGTTTTGTTTGGTCTGCCATCCCCTTCTGGTTTCCAGCTTGCCAAGGAAGACTCAGTTGCATGACTGCAGATCAATCGCTTCCCCAATAAAAGCATGTTTATCCCCCTCTTCTCCCCAAGACACTTGTGTTGCCCTGTCTCCACCTCTTGATTCAACAGGAGGGGAGTTTCTTTCTTTTTACTATCACATGCCTGCTTCTAGCTACTGCTGAGGTGCATGAGGCGCCTGCTGCCCATGGACATGCTGCATGAAGCGTCCTTACTTCAGTCCCTGCGTGCTTAGCACAGCAATGGACCCCCAATGTTCCCTTCCTGCCCCTAACACTCTCACTTCCGCCTGCAGCTGGCTAAAGCACTGTTCTTCCTCTCCTCTCTCAAGGCCAGGGGCTGCAGCCCCCAATCAGCAGGCAAGGAAGTGACCCCCCACCACATCATCCATCCAGTCTTAAACCCAACCCCTTCCCCCCCCCCCCGCTAATAAACAGCCCGCTGCATTTATGGGGGTGGAAGTGGTGGTGGGAATAATAATACTGGGGGTATGCAATGGGAGGGGCAGGTCTGGAAGCCTCAAGGACCCGGGTTTCCTTGTTCAAATCTTGCATCTCAGTACGTACACACGCCCACATCCATGTATATACACACATGTACACACACAAACACATATGCACACACGTATACGTACACACAACCATACACGCATGCACACCCCATCTATGCATACACGTGTACATACATATACAGACACATACACGCAGGCGCGCGCACATACCCCCACGGATACACACGCATGCGCGCAGCCATGCAGGGGCGGATTAACCCTTTAGTGGTGCTGGGCGCCCCGGGCGGGGGGAAGGGCTCCTCCCCGCCCAGCACAAAGGGAGCCGGACCCGCCCGGGCTGCGGCCGCGACCCCCGCCTCGCACCAACTTAAGCCCCCCCCAAGCCGGGGCTGCAACATGGCGGCGGCAGCAGGGCACCTGCTCTCCCACTCGCCCCTCCCTGGGGACCCGCCGACACAGAGAGCCCGGTGTCAGGGCAGGAACCGCGCCTCCTCTGCCAGGCCTGCCAGCAGAGGGGCAGCTGGGACACCCCGAAGCCGGGGCGTGTTGGGGAGCAGAGGTGCCAGGCCCTCGGCGCCAGGCACTTTGCAGGAGGGAGAAGCCAAAGGGAGGATGACGGAGGACTCGGCCCTGGCCGCCAAGCCCAAGCGGGCCAAGGCGGGCAAGAAGCGGACCGAGCACCCCAAGTACTCCGACATGATCGTGGTGGCCATCCAGGCCAAGAAGAGCCGCGCCGGCTCCTCTCGCCAGTCCATCCAGAAGTACATCAAGAGCCACTACAAGGTGGGGGAGAACGCCGACTCCCAGATCAAGTTGTCCATCAAGCGGCTGGTCACCACCGGTGTCCTCAAGCAGACCAAAGGGGTCGGCGCGTCTGGGTCTTTCCGCCTGGCCAAGGGTGATGAACCCAAGAAGCCACCAGCCAAGAAGGAAGTCAGGAAGGCTGTGGTGCCCAGGAAAGTCACTAAACCCAAGAAAGCTGCTGCCAAGGCCCCAACCAGGAAGCCCAAAGCAGCCCCCAAGAAAGCCAGAAAGAAGCCAGCGGCCACGCCAAAGAAAGCCAAGAAGCCAAAGACTGTTAAGGCCAAACCGGTGAAGGCATCAAAGCCGAAGAAGGCAAAGCCATCCAAACCCAAAGCAAAGTCCAGTGCAAAGAAATCTGCCAAGAAGAAGTGAAGCTTGTGTCCTTTTTCTTGAACGCTCTCCTTCATGTCTGCTTTTGTAAACAGTCTTCTCCTTTTATCCTCTTCTTCCTTTTTATTGCAACTTTATAGGGACTGAGCACTTATTTCCCTGAAATAGTTACAATGATTCAATTGCTTTAAAAAAGCAAGAAAAAAACCAACCCAGAGGAAAAAAACTCTCCACAGTGAGAGTCCCCTTTTAAGTGTTTATTGGTTTGTTTTTATTCTGTTGTAATCTTGGAGCTCTCCTCATGTCTCTCCTTTTTGTTTTTAATTTGAATGTATGGAATAGTTGTGGGTTTGTTTGTTTTTTAAGCAGGGGGAGTCCGTGTTGGGTGGAAAAGAAAGAGGATGGACTTACTAACTTTCCTTCTGCCCATAGGGATATTTGGCTGTGCAAGGAACTGGCCTGGGCCAGAAGGTCAGGGCAAAGACCCCTTCATGAAAGGGCCTGAGGAACCAGCTTGTTGGCCCCCAGGGGATGAATAGATGTAGCATCAACTAAGTTTCCCTTCACCTGGCTGCAGTGGGTCGGTGTCCCCCCCTTGCTGATGTAGTGGCCTGCTAATGAGAAGAGAGACACAAGCTGGCAGTCGGGAGAGGTGTGGGCTTGAGTTGGCATCCAAGCCACCTACTTGGCTCTGTGGGAGGCAGGGGGTTAGGCTTGAAATAGGGATGGGCTGCAGGGTGCACCACATGGATGGATGTCTTATAATTTTTTTTTTAAGTGCATTTTGCAGTCAGGTGCGGTTGATGGCAGTGGAGTGAGGGTTAAAAGGGAGGACTGATTCCCCCCCCCCCCTTCAAAAGAGGCCCTGCAAGTGCTTCCACAAGTCTGAGAGCTGCTGTCCTGTTCTACCTGATTTCAAATTCAATAAGACCTCTTGGGCTCCAGAGAAGTGATTAGGAAAACCTTTCCAGCAAGTCCCCATGCTCTCCCAAGTGCCCTGCAGCACCCGCTTGGGAACCACAGCTTGGGCAGGGACCCCTCTATCCACAGCCCCTATGGACTGAACCTCTTATAATTGCTTTGTGGAGCTGGAGCTTTGACCTGCTGTGGCTTGAGGCTTGTGCTTTGGGTTTTCTTTTTTTTTTCTGTGGGGGGAGAGTTGGAGGGTGGGAGCTGCCAAGGGGAAATTGTGGGGGGGGGAGGTTATGCTGGGAGCAGTGTCGATTACACCAATAAAATTAACCAAAACTAATGTATATGTAATATTTATTTGAATTGCTTTGTGGAGCTGGAGCTTTGACCTGCTGTGGCTTGAGGCTTGTGCTTTGGGTTTTCTTTTTTTTTTCTGTGGGGGGAGAGTTGGAGGGTGGGAGCTGCCAAGGGGAAATTGTGGGGGGGGGAGGTTATGCTGGGAGCAGTGTCGATTACACCAATAAAATTAACCAAAACTAATGTATATGTAATATTTATTTGA